TGGACCGCCCGATGCCGACCTCTACGGCTCTGCCGACGTAGCCGCTGACACATTTTCTGCAAACAGGAGATCCGCGTGAGATGTTTTGCTCCTCGAGCAGCAGCAGTGCAGCGGTGCGTGCATCGCGATCGACCCCCCCTCCCCTCCTCGCTCCTTTCTGAGCCGAGTGGTCCGGTCCGTGCCATTTAAAAGTCCAAAATTTTTGCCCCGTCACGTAAAACCGTTTAGCCTGCTACGATTCTGATAGCGAGCAAATAATTTTCTCGCTGTGCGAACTAATTCTTTGCAATACCAAAGTCAAAAACTTCGCAACATTGAAGAGAATTTAGTTTTTTACGGTTTTTTAGCATTTTACTGTGGCCTTGAGTGCTGCGTGTGATTTTTTCGACGTGCCATTGCGATATTCACACTAATCGGCTTTCCTTTGATTCCCCACAGAGCGCGATGGACCTCCTCCCGGATGACGTGCTGGCGCAGGTCATGTCCCTCCTGAGCCTGCCGGACCTCTTCCAGCTGCGCCTTGCGTGCAAGAGGTTCGCGTCCCTCGCCTTTCACCCGGATGTGTGGCGGCACAGGCACCTCAAAGCGACGACCGCCGACGCCGAGGCTCTGCTCTACCGCGCGCTGCGCCTGGCGCCGCGCCTCGGGTCGATGCAGGTCCGCCTGCCGTCCTCGTCGGCCTCGTGCCGCCTGCTCTTCACCGCCCCGTGCGCCGCAAGGACTTTGTGGGTCAACATTTACCGGGGAGAGGGCGCCAAGGATGCTGCCCTGCTCATCCGGCACCAGAGAGGTCTCGGCCGACTGAGGAATGTCGACGTGCTCTTTGAAAAGGACCATAGGATACTGAGCGCTGAGCGTAAGCCCTCCAAAGCGCACGCCACCTTGCTGTTTCGCACCTTGGCGTCGACGTCTGGTCTGGACTCAATTGCTGTTGGAGGACTCACCGAGAATTACGTCCTGTCCGTGTCCACCCCCACCCCCTACCGTTTGCGCAGCACCGTCCCGGCGTCCCTGACGAGGCTCTTCTTCTACGTCAACGAAGCCCTGGAGGACGTCTTCAACTTCCTCCTGGCCGCGCACGCCGCCACCTTGAAAGAGGTCGACTTCCGGGCCAACAGCTTCCTGTTTTGGGTCCCGTCTCCCTCTGCCGGGCAGCTGCTCGCCACGATGCCCAACCTCACCTCCCTGGCGTGCCCGGCGCTCCACTGGATGGACGCCCTCACAGTCTGCAAGTCTTTGAGGAGAATACACTTCTTCTTCGGGAATGACTGTTGGCTGAATTTCAGCGCGGCGAGGGACTCTGCGGCGGCCGCGTTCTTCCGCGACGCCCACCAGCTGCAAGCGGTCCACTTGGCCCACATCGAGGGGGACATCGCCGTCACGCTGGTCGCGGCCCTGGCGGCGTCCGGCCGCTCCTGTGTGGAGTGGCTGTGTATCGACAACGGCGAGGAACGGTTGTCCCCTCAGCTGATGCAGGACCTGCTCGGGGCGCTGCCCTCGCTGCCCGCCCTGCGCCGCCTGAGGGTGGACCTGACAAGAGACCCTGATAATGCCAGGACTCTTTTGTCGGCCAACCCTACGCTTCATGTGGAGACCGGCTCAGAATGTCTCAGCAAATTTAAACCTGTTTAATTGAGTAAATGCTTAATAAATTTTTGTTTCTTTTAAGCCGTATTCTTCATAGAATTCTAACTTGCTTGTCACCACACTGTATAAAGTAATCGGAAGGGTTACGGAAATGTATTTCCTGATAAAAGTGAAGTTACGATCGCCCATCGCAAAACTATAGTAGCTACAAGACCATAGTTTTGAGGCTTGTATAGTAGATGCAAATTACTTCTGGAAAAGTTATTACGAGCTCTATCAACAGAACAGAGACTCCAAAGTGGGCCTTTAGCATCAACAGCGCAGTAAGCATAGCAGCACCTCACGTCCAGGCGTTTGAGAGGGGGGGGGGGGGTGCTCAGCGCCACACCCGATCTCCCGTCCGGCCCTGTTCTGGACGAGAAAGAGCGAGGAAAAAGCACACCCCTTTTTTGACAGTTTTTAGAGAGTCCCATAGAGACTGTCTCTACCAAAAGGGAAAGTGCCCCCTCCCTTTCTTGCAACTTCCTTGCTATCTACAGCGCAGAGCGGGCGACCGGCGCGTGTCATTGTTTTCCTTCTAATAGAGTCAGTCTTAAGGACTCCCCAAAAATCTTTGGGCTCGCGGATTATCGTGAGCATAAAAGAGAGCTATTGTTATGTGCACGCGCGAAATTCAATCGCTC